GCACAAACCTGGGTGAGCTGCGCAGCTATCTTGGCTTGCAGATCACCCTGGACAGAGCACAACACACCATTACCTTGACTCAGTCACACATTGTGCAGCAGGTCCTTCAGCACTTCGACTTCCAGTACTCCTCGCCACAGTCCACTCCTCTGCCTACCGGTCACTCGCTCTCAGCTCCACCTTCGGACGAGTCCGTAGAGCCGAGTGGCCCGTATCCAGAGCTTGTGGGCTGCCTCATGTACCTGATGACCTGCACTCGACTTGACCTTGCTCACCCTCTTAGCATCCTAGCACGCTACGTTGCGCCCGGGAGACACCTACCAGAGCACTGGAAGGCCGCTAAGAGGGTGATGCGCTACTTGTGCAGTACGTCGGGCATGGGGCTCGTGCTTGGAGGACGGGGTCCAGTTGTCCTCACTGGACACGCAGATGCCTCTTGGGTTGACGACTTGGCTACGCAGCGGTCGTCACAGGGTTACACTTTCAGCCTTTGCTCCGGCTCTGTTTCTTGGCGGTCTACCCGCTCGTCTTCTGTTCTCAGTTCCGGTTGTGAGGCTGAGATCTACACTGGGGCCATGGCTGCACAAGAGTTACGCTGGCTCACCTACCTGCTGACCGACTTGGGAGAGCCGCCTCGTTCTCCTCCAGTTCTGTACGTCGACAACAAGGCCATGATTGCCTTATGTCAGGAGCACAGACTGGAGCACAGGACGAAGCACATCGCTCTGCGCTACTTCCTTGCTCGTGAGTTGCAGCAGCGTGGTCAGCTTCGTCTTGTTTACGTCGCCTCTCGGGCCAACAGTGCTGATATCTTCACCAAGGCACTTCAGCCTTATGATCATCAGCGTTTCTGTACTGTTCTAGGCCTTGTGCCTACTTGGCCTCACTTGCTCACTTCTTGACTTTGCTTGTAATGTGATCTATATACTTATACCTGCATGCTTACACTTGCTAGGTTTTGATCACTGTACTGCTTGTTCTGCATTATATAACTCTGCATGTGAACTGGCCTTGTGGCCACTTGCTTGTGTTCAAAGTATGTGGTGACTTTGTGATCCACCCTGAGCTTGCTTTGCTTGTCTTGACTGGTCTTGTGACCTCTTGTTCTCCCCCACTTTGCCTATGGGGGTGTGTCAAACTTATAAGCTGCATATTGTGTAGGCTATAGTGGGGTAGCTCATATGGGGTACAACCCAATTAGGGTTTGATACTTGTACTCCTGCATGCTGCTAGTTCAACCATTCTCGTTCATTCTACTGACAGCTCTTTCGTCAGCCGAAGCCGAATTCATCGCCGCCATCGCAGCTCTTCGCGAAGGACTGTACCTGATCGAGCTCCTGCAGGAAGCGAAAGTGACGATGAACGGGCACTTAACGTTACTCTGCGACAACCAGAGCGCGATAAAAATATCGATCAAGCCTGGCTTCGTAAACCGCACGAAGCACATCGCACTCCGTTACTTCTTCGTCAAGGACGAGATTGACAAGGGCAAAGTCAAACTCATGTATTGCCCAACTGGTGACATGGCAGCGGATTTCCTGACAAAGAATCTGCCACGTCAGAAGTTCCAGCACTGCGCCAACCTCCGCAGGATCTCAAAGAAATCCCACGTGGCTCACCTTCAGAAATGAAGGAAAGTGTTGGAATAACCGATAGGTTATTGCTAGCATTCCCGAAGGTTCTCCCTTAACACGCCGTTTCATAACGAAGCAGCGACGCTGTACCAGTACCGCGATAGCTCATATAGAGAAAGCGGAAGTCAGACAGCCACGCGAAGGTCAACAGTCACTGGAAGTCAATGGTCGCGACTGTTGACCACCCAGTAACCGTACTCGGAGGTTACGCGATGCAACCTGGTAACTGTCGAGTATAGCAATAGTCGCGGTTACTGTAGCAATGAAATACAGTTAATAAGGGAATGTACTCCTTATAGTACATGGCTAACTAGGATTGCTATTTAAACTCCTTGTATCTCTATCTTTATTATCTTGTTTACTTTCAACTTATTATAACAAGGTCATTTCAAGACTTCATAGTCTTCTTCTGAACATAGTTGGATTTATTATATTTTTTCGATTCATTGGTTATACGAACAACGTTGTTATATGTAAGGACGTGGCCTAGAGCACATATGATCAGCTCCGATCAGGTCGGGTCGGATCGAATCGGGTCATGTCAGATTACGTTTCTCGCGCCGCCCGTCGGAAAGGATTTTTATATGACCTTTCTCGTCACCCGCATGGTAAGTGCCGCGCAAGAACCTCGTGCATTCGTGCGAAGAAATAACGGGGGGGGGGGGGGGGGGGGGGAAGAAAAAACGAGACAATGCGAATACGTCATTTACTTGTTCGCTAAGGCGGGAACGAATTTTGCGAGGCAAGGACGGGTTTTGCGCGAGCACGTTACACCTAACCACCGCTATTTTCACGTAGCCAAAAGTTTTTTCAGACCCACCCTAGACCATTTTCAGCTGTATCTTTGAGACCCCTAGAGCCAAAAGATGTGAACGATGCTCTCTTGATCGATTGCCTAAAAAAAAAAAAAAAAAAATCCAAAGTGGAACATACTGACGGACGCACTCGCGCGGGTAAATTTTCCAGTAGCGATTGCGACCTCGGGCTCGAAAGGTGTTCGAAACAATACCAGCTTAAAAACATATTTCATTATGTACAGCCATCGGACTCAGAAATAATCAGGGTATTTACCCACGGACGTCCAAATCGAGGACGTGAAAATAGCGGTGGTTAGGTGTACTTATTGTTGGTGCATCCAATCAATGCTGATCGATGGATCGATATCGACTGCAATAGACCCCGATCGCGATCGCAATAGATTGAGACAACCCATCGAGTTAGGTAGATCCGTGGATGGGGATTGCTCCCGATTGCCATTGATCGGGATTCCTGGTTTCCTGGAAGTTATGGACTCTTTTGATAAGAGGATATAGATCGGGCGTGGGCCACGTCCTAAGAACTGGGAGTTGGCGCTACGGCAAGGCACAACACTGACAGTGACAGTATTGGCGCCCAAACATGCGGGTAAGTGCAGCCCATAACACGTGGCCAAGCTACTGCTGCTGCTGCTGCTGGTGCCCGTTGTGTACTCGCTGCTCATCCCGGTCGCTAAGGGCGTGTCTGAAGTGAATTTCGACGTTTGCCGACGAAACTTTCGTCGACGTTCCTTGACGAAACTCGACATCCGTTTTCAGCTGTGTTCACTTCAGACACCCACACGACAAAATAACCCACACGTGCCATAGGAACACTGTTATAAGTTGCCCATGAAAATTCGACGTGGAATTAACAGAATCATTCATGTAACTCAATTGTTTGCAATCTCGCGAATTTCGCTTAGCATAGATTGTTGCTGGTAACACCGGATATTCTACTGTCACATTGCCAGCGAAATTTCTCTAGCACGTGTCGCTCTCGTCTTAGTTCTTATTCACGTGTGTTTGCCACAGCTATGCAGACATGGCGTGTCGAAGAATTGTTTTTGAAACACTCACTGACTACAGTGACTCAAACAGCTGCCCGGTATCACTGTTCGACATCCCTCGACATGTGCACGAACGTCGAGTTTCGTCGAGGGATGTCAGGCTGCACTTCAGACACCAACACGCGTGGGTCCCACGGATGAGTTTCGTCGACGAAATTTGACGAAACTCGACGTTTGCACTTCAGACACGCCCTAAGAAGAGCGACGTTCTACCCTTGAATACAGATTTGGGTGCAGCAGGGCCAGTTTTACGTTTGAAGACACTCTTTCATTTTAGTTTAGAGTGAAAGAAAGCGCCACTCAGCTCGGCCGAGTAGCGTGCTAAAAAAGTAGGATAGTCCTGCAAGAATCGTTTCAACACTATATTAGGCCGAGTTAAATTTATGTTAAACAAACACGAACCTGAAATAGGCCGAGTCATAGTCGTCGCACCCCGTTATTTGAAAGTTGGGTGTCAGAATCCTTCCTGATTTGAAGAGTAGGCCGGAAACATTACCCTCGTATTTAAAAAGTAGGCCGGAAAGATTACCCTGAAACAATTAGCCCTGGTTGGTTGGGCGGCGGATGGATGGCTGGTGGCGCCGCATTCGGGCGATAGCTACAGTAACAGTTCTCCCAGCAGGTGGTTGTCCATGCTCACACTGTACAGTACTGATCTGTACAGTAGTCCTCTTACCGTTCCATTCCACTTCCTCCTCTTCCCCCTCCACGTCCCCTTTCTTCCCACCCCTCCCCTCCCCGTCCCCCTTCTATCCCGCCCCTTTCCCACCCTCCCCCCCACACCTGCTCTCCCTCACTCTCCCCCGCTCGCACCAGAGCGGATAATTCTACGCCGTTTAGAATTGACTGTGAACGGTTCATTCTGGTGCGCAATGGTAAAAAAGGGTGACTTCAAAAGCCCGCTCTCAACCGAGGTTGAACATATTCGAGTGTGGAGCGTCACTCTTAGTATAGAGCGTCACTCACCTTCATTTCCAGAACCTTCATTTTCCCAGCTTCGACCGAATACAGGTTCCGCTTGTGAGCTTTCGGCAGCATCTCACTTCATAGCCCACCGTCCAGTCGCTTCGTATTAGGGTTCATTCATGGATCCGATCCAGGCGCCGTCGCAATCGTCGCAGCAAGACCAATATCTGCCGGCGAATCCGCCGAGCCAACCCCTGAGCGAGCCTCCGCCGCCGAGCCACCCACCGCCATGGCCGCCGTACGAACCGGCGGCCGTCCATAAGCTGCCGCGCGACGTGATCGCGAAGATCTTTTCGCATCTCTCCGTCGCAGACCGGTGCTCCGTGTCGCTCGTGTGTCGCCTGTGGTTTCGCTACGAGCGACTGCTGCCGCATTACATGCAGAGCGAGGTATTATTCGCTTTGGGAACCCAACACTTCCGCTGCCTCGGCATTACGTGCAGAACCATGGAAATTCAATTTAGGCCTGCTTTATATGAGCGAGGCAAATGCCTCTGCTGCATTTTGTGCGAAAGCAGGCAAATGCTTCAGCATTGCATGCAGAGCGAGGTAAATCGACTTTTCGAAGTCGACCTTTGCTGCATGATGTCATACCCGAAAACTCGGATCCCGTTCCGAAACTCGGCAGGAGCGTTACTTCCTGCCGATTCCGAAACTCACCCGCATCCTTTCTTATGAGGTGACTTTTGAGTCGACTCAAAAGACATCCTTTCTTTATTTTCTCCTCGCCTCCCCTCTTACCCCATCCACTCCTCTCCCCCCCCCCCCCCCCCTTTTTCCCACCCTCCCTCCCACCCCGTCCCTCCCCGTGTCCCCCCATCCGCTCCCCTACCCCCAAAATTTCCGCAGGTCGGCTCAACGGAGCTCCGCTTCGTGTTGCGCCGCTTCCCCCTCATCCGCACGCTGCGCATCCGCCTCTTCGGTCCCACAGTGCTGCCGGGGGCGCCGCGGGAGGAGCGCGCCGCGGACGACCGCCACCACAAGCGCACGGGCTGGGGGAGAGGCGGGGGAGTGAGTGCAGAGGGTTGGGGAGGCGGAACGGGGATTGGGGGAGGCGGGGCGCAGGTCGGGGGAAGCGGAACAGAGGCTGGGGGAGGCGAAACGCGGAACGTCTCATCTCACGCCGCCGCCTCAACTCCCCCTTCCTCCGCCGCCTCCGCCGCCGCCGCCGCGGTTGCGTCTCCTATCAGCGGCCAGCAAATTCTAGACCTTACAGCGATAGTGCGAATTCTCTCTCTCAACACTCCCCTGCAGATCCAACAGGTGGCGGGAACTCAGGTAGAATCCCTCCATATTTGTAACTGCGGGAATTTCGAGGTACAGCAGGGGCTTCTGGATTACATGAGGCACGTGGTCGCCACGTGGGGGCGCAACATTCGGCACATCGAGATGCACGATCCGTTGCCGTCGTCGGACGAGTTTTGGCGATGCGTGGAGGGTCATCCGATGCTTAGCAAAGTGACGGTTTATAAGTGCACGTACTTAACGGACCGATTTTTGGGGTACGTGGCGCGGTGCGGCGGGCTGAAGGAGCTGTCGATCGGCAGCTGTCCGAACGTGAGTGGCGGCGGGTTTGCTGAGCTGGCGGAGAAGTGCCCCGGATTGGAGGAGATTGTTTTGGAAGATCTGACTCTGTCCGTCGTGGCGAAGAAAGCGCGCAGTGCGCCTGGCGGAGGGCGCGCGGGCGCGGGAGGGGCGGGGGAAGGGGTGGGGGAAGGGGCAGGCGAAGTGGAAGGGAGAGCGGATGAGGCGATGGGGGCGAATGAGGCGGAAAGGTGGGATGGGGCGGCGGGGGCAAATGGGGCGGACGGGTGGGATGGGGCAGTGAGGGAGAGTGGAGAGGCAGAGGCAGCAGTGGTGCAAGCAGGAGCAGAGGGAGGAACGGGGGCAGCAGCAGAGGGGCGGGGAGGCAATCTCGCTGCCTCCTTCCCCAACCTCTCCTCCTTGAAAATCGTCAACTGCACGCTCGATGCTCATTGGCTGGAAATGTTTGCCGGGCAGCTGCCCGCCCTGCGCAGGCTGACCATCATGGCCTGCCCGGACCCGCTCGACCGATTTTTTTTTACCGCTGCCCGGACAGCTGCCTGGCTGGAGAGTGTGGAAATAGTTGACTGTGAGGGTGTGAGTGACAACTGCATTGTAGCTCTCCTGAAAAGCTGCCCGGCAATTAATAGCCTGACTCTGAGTGGGTGCGAGGGAGGGAGTGGAGGCCCAGGAGGGGGAGGAGGAGGAGGAGAGGGAGGAGGGATGGGAGGAGGGATGGGAGGAGGAGGGGGGGATGTCAACGGTGGAATGACAAGGGTGACGGATGAGAGTCTGAGGGCAGTGGTGGTGCATGGAGTGGGGTTGCGATCGCTGCAGCTCAAGTGGAGCCCCGGCTTCACTGGCCACCAGCTCGCGAGAGACGTGCTGGATTCTCGACGGTGGTCTACCTCCTTTGAGGGGACGACAGAGGCAGAGCTGGGTCAAGATGGATTGGCTCGAGATGGATTGGCTCGAGACGGATTGGCTCGAGACGGATTGACTCTGGGGTGGAGTGGGGTGGAGAGTCTGCAGCTGGAGGGGTTGGATGGGCTCTCCGATTCCTTCCTGCTGCTCGCTGCTGCCACCTGCCCCCGCCTCTCCACACTCGCTGTGGAGTACTGCAGGTGCGTTGCGGTGGTGCTCGGTGTAGTGTGGTGATGGGTGGTGTGCAGTGGTGATGGTTCAATTTGATCCGGCTGGTTTCTGTATTTCCCAATGCTCCCTTCTTTATCCTGCCCCGCTCATCCCTCTCCCCTCCCCGCCCGCCCTTTGCTGTCACCTTCCCCTTATCATTTGATTTCCTTTTACCCCGAACCTTGTACTTCCATTTCCTCACCCTATTGTCTCACAAGGTGACTTTTGGGTTGACTCAAAAGTCACCCCGAACCTTGTACTTCCATTTCCTCACCCCATTATCTCACATGCCCATCCCTCCCTGCTTTCTGCCCACAGGGAGATCTCAGAGGCGGGGCTCATCCCGCTGGTGAAGTCGTGCCACAGCCTGCAGCACATGTGCTTCTCTGGCTTCCGTGCCAGCCACCTCTCCGACCTCCTCCTTCACACCATCGCCTCGCACTGCACGCTGCTCTCCACCCTCACCCTCCGCGCCTGTAACGGGGTTACTACACAGGGCGTCACACATGCGTTACATGGCTGTGAGAAAATCGCAAGGTGCCACCTGGCACGGTGCCCGAATGTGGATGAGGAGAGGGTGGTTGGGGTGGCAAGGGAGGTTGGGGAGGTTAGGGCGAAAATAACAACAGGGAGAAGACGCACAGTAGGAGTGCCTGTAATTGAGGTATCGTAATTTCAATCAAGTGAATATTACAGGGATGTGGTGTCTTCGTGGAGGGATAACCAAACAAAAGATACGGTATTGTACTAGATGTGGTGTGGCAGATGTATTGGATGTAAAGGGGACATTTTATTGGTTTTACAAAGATATTGGTTATGGGGCAGGCTGAAAAATCAGTGATTGATGGCAAATTTGTGCTGAGAATCAGCCATAAGTGCCAGTTCCCCCCTAAAATCCAGTAGAAACTCACCAGGTTTCTCAGGGAAAAGGCTGAAAAAACAGCGCTGGTACACCCTCTTTCTCGCCATACTGACGTCCGCTATACTGACTTCCAGAGTGAAAAAGCTCGGTTGAGGTTGGTTGATTTAGGTTTTGGTATGGTTTATTTGGGCAAATCGAATAGGACAAGGCCAGCCTGCCAGTTACGCGCGGGTCAGTGTAGCGAGAAACAGGGTGTATAGAAAAAAAGGCTGAAAAAGGGATGAAGGGGTGTCACAGTAGGCGCTGGTCTATTCATAGGGAAATGGACCAGCGAAAGCAAGAATGGTCCCTGCCTGGTACCGGTACCCGCTTGGTACCGGAGACCATTTGCAGCGGACCCAAACAAGGTAGAGTGTTTTTCAGGTTCGCAAATGTCTGAACTACATTCCGCGGCGTGAACTTGGAACGTTATGCTTGTTAGAGTGAAGATCTTGGATATGATAGGATTGCCTTAGAGAGTTTAGTAGCGGAAGTATTTGGAGTAAGAACCTGTCAGAATAAGGAAACAGTAATGATTGACTAAAGCAGGATGAGTGGTACAAGTAGCAACCCTACCAAAGGGTTGTACCCCATAGGGAGTAACCCACTACAGCCTAACATCACTAACATGATATAAACATGTTTTGACACACCCCCATAGGCAAAGTGGGGGACAACAAGGGGTTGTCGAAAGTCTAGGCAGAAATCAGAAACAGGAAAGAGAGGGGTTCACTAGCAGCAGTTGAGATACATATAGAAAACCCTAATTGGGTTGTACTCGCTATAGAGTACCCCACTGCAGGCTAGACAAACATCGACATTCTGACACACCCCCATAGTCAAAGTGGGGTACAATCAACACAACAAGCAGGCAGTGTAATAGTTCACAAGGATAAGCAAAGCTAGAGGCTATCACAGAGGGCAAGTGAGGAGGAGGAGAAACTATGGAGGACGAGAAGATGAGAGGCGACGGCTGAAGCTGCAGACACACGGGCAACAGGAGTGCGCAGCACTGACGCTACCAGGCTAAACCCGGGCTATACGGCGACAGGCGCAGCTGGCTCACTGTGCTCCCAGGAGTGCTCACACTGTGGCTACCGGACGCAGAGCCCCGGACTACACGGCCACAGGGGGTCGTGGCTCTCTGGACTACCAGGAGTGCTCACACTGTGGCTACCGGGCGCAGAGCCCCGGACTACACGGCCACAGGGGGTCGTGGCTCTCTGGACTACCAGGAGTGCTCACACTGTGGCTACCGGGCGCAGAGCCCCGGACTACACGGCCACAGGGGGTCGTGGCTCTCTGGACTTCAGGCGCTGCGGACGACAAGTCGGCTACCTCCGGTCAACCTCCCCCAACTGTCCCACACCCCTTTCACACACCCCCTGCTGAACCACTAGCACCGCTCACACGCCACCCCCCTTGTACCACTCCGACGGCTCCAACACATCCACCCCCCTCAGCGGCAGCTGCAGCAGTGGGAGACGGAGGAGGAGGAGGAGCAGGGGACGGCTCACACACACAGCACCCCCATACTCTCCACCCCCAAATCCTAACACAGGAGTGCGGTCAGAAGCTCGGGGGACGGCGTGCGGCACTGGGGCAGATGGTACGGGCCGCTCACGGGCCTGGCGCAGGCCGGACGAACCGCGCGCGGGCTGCCCGAGCCGCGCGCGGGCCTGGCGCAGCCCGTACGAGCCGCGCGCGGGCCTGGCACAGGCCGTACGGGCCGCGCGCGGGCCTAGCGCAGGCCGTACGGGCCGCGCGCGGGCTGTACGGGCCTCGCGCGGGCCTAGCGCAGGTCGCGCGGGCCGCTACGGGCGACGGGGGGCGACGCGCGGGTCCCCGGGGGCGCTGCGACGGGCGACGGGGGGCGACGCGCGGATCGACGGGGCAGAAAACCGCCGCGCGCCTCGGGGCGCACGGCGGGCAGAAAACCGCCGCGCGCCCCGAGCGCGCGGCGGGATGAAAAATACGCCGTGCACCCGAGCGCGCGGCAAGCAGAACACGTCGCGCACCCGAGGCGCGCGATAGGCAGGACAGCAGCGGAAGCATTAGGTGGCGGGCCCATCCACAGGATCGACCCAGGAGGGTCGACCTGCTTTGATAGCATGTCGAAAGTCTAGGCAGAAATCAGAAACAGGAAAGAGAGGGGTTCACTAGCAGCAGTTGAGATACATATAGAAAACCCTAATTGGGTTGTACTCGCTATAGAGTACCCCACTGCAGGCTAGACAAACATCGACATTCTGACAGGGGTCACAAGACCAGTCAAGAGAAGAAGCAAAGCAAAACAAAGCTCAGGGTGGATCTCAAGATCACCACGCATTCTGAGCACAAGCAAACGGCCATAAGGCCAGTTCACATGCAGAGTTAATAATAACAAGAGCAGTACACTGATCACAACCTAGCAAGTGTAAGCATGCAGGTATACTCATATATATCAGTGTACAACAAGAGCAAGATCAAGAGACAAGCAAGTGAGGCAGAGTGGGCACACGCCCAAGAGCAGTGCAGAAACGCTGATGATCACTAGACCCAAGGGCCTTGGTGAAGACATCAGCAGTGTTGGCCCGAGTGGCCACGTAAGCAAGATGAAGCTGACCATGCTGCTGCAGCTCTCGCGTGAGAAAGTAACGGAGAGCAATGTGCTTCGTTCTGTGCTCCAGTCTCTGGTCCTGACACAAGGCAATCATGGCATTGTTGTCGACGTACAGAACTGGAGGAGAACGAGGCCGCTCACCCAAGTCGGTCAGCAGGTAGGTCAGCCACTGCAGCTCCTGTGCAGCTATAGCCCCAGCGTAGATCTCGGCCTCACAGCTGGAACTAAGTACAGAAGAAGAGCGAGTGGACCTCCACAAGACAGAACCAGCGCCGAGACTGAAATTGTACCCCTGTGTCGACCGGTGAGTCGTCTGGTCGTCAGCCCAAGAAGCATCTGAGTGGCCGGTGAGAACATCTGAACCCGGTCCTCCAAGCACGAGCCTCATGCCCGAAGTGCTGCACAGGTAACGCAATACCCTCTTCGCAGCATCCCAGTGCATCTTTCGATGCCTACCGGGAGCCACGTAGCGAGCCAGGAGGCTGAGAGGGTACGCGAGGTCAGGTCGTGTGCACGCCATCAGGTACATGAGGCAACCCACAAGCTCTGAGTACGGACCACTTGGCTCTACGGACTCGTCCGAAGGGGGAGCTGAGAGCGAGTGGCCAGTAGACAGAGGAGTGGGCTGTGGCGAGGACCACGTGACGTCGAAGCGCTAAAGGACCTGCTGCACCATGTGTAACTGAGTGAGGGTGATGGTGCGGCGTGCTCTGTCCCGGGTGATCTGCAAGCCAAGGTAACTCCGCAGCTCACCCAGGTCAGTGCAAGTGTGTCTCTCCTGCAGCTCCGCCTTCACCAAGGCAAGAGCCTCAGTGTGAGCAGTAGCAAAAACCAAGTCGTCGACGTACACAAGAACGTAGAACGGCGGTAGAGAAGTGTCTGTGCGCAGAAACAGCGAAGGGTCAGCAGTCGAGGGAGCGAAGCCAAGAGCCGCAAGTGTAGTCCTCAGTGTGTCGTGCCACTCGCGGGGTGCCTGTCGAAGGCCGTAGACTGGTCGCCGAAGACTCCACTCGGTACCCTCAGGAAACGACCCAGTGAAGCCACGTGGACGGCGCAACCAGATAGCCTCGTGAAGGCTACCCTGCAAGAAGGCTGTCGAGAAGTCGAGGGAGTGCAGCTCGTAGTCGCGCTGTGCTGCAACGTGCAGTAGCACCCGAAGAGTGGTCATCTTTGGGGTGGGGGAGAAGGTCTGAAAGAACTCGACCCCTGCACGTTGACTGAAGCCTCGAGCAACGTAACGCGCCTTGAAGGCAGGCGGAGAACCCGGCGGCCGCTTCACCCTGAAAATCCACATGCCATCGACTATGTTCGCCCCAGATGGGGGAACCTCGTCAACGTAGGTGTCTGTGGACTTCCAGGAAGCAATCTCTGCGTCCATGGCTATCTGCCACTGAGAGGAGTACGGACCCGTGATCGCCTCTGCGTAAGTGCGTGGGGTCGGGATGTCCAGTGCATCCGGGTCTCCCTCAGGGCAAAGTAGCGAGGACGCGAGATGCGGTGCAGCGGCCGCGAGACACTCCAGCTCAAACTGCCTGTCCTCAAGAACGTCACAGCCAAGGGCAAGCTCACCCCCGACGGACGGAGGACAGGAAGAGTAAAAAACAAGACTCGCAGCGTAGTCAAGGCGGCACAAAGCAGCAAAGTCAACAAGCTCAGCAACTAAGGCAGCTGTAGCAACGGACTCAAAGGAAGGGTCAGTCACAACTGTGGCAAGGAGACGAGTGACATTCGAACTGGCAGCACGGACAAGGTGAGACTCAGGGTCAAGAACGTGCGGAAGAGAGGACGCGGGAGGCGACGGCAGGACAACACGCTGTGGAATAGAGGAAGGACGAAGTGCCATCTGGTGAGTGCCTGGCACAGCTGGAGCACGAGGACGGACAACACGACGACCGCGAACAGGAGTGGAGCAGGCAGCGGGGAGACAGGCAGTAGCTATGGCTAAGACAGGTCAGTCGGTGGGAACAGTAGCGGAGGAGTAGTACCAGGAACCGGAAACTGAGTAGCAACAGGCGGGAGACTGAGAAGGCGACAAAGCGCAGGCCGGTTTCGGCTGAGTAGTCGCACCCCTAGAACCTCCCGCTCCAGTAGCAACAGCACCCTTAGAAACAGTGCCTCCAGCTCCAGTAGCAAAAGCACCCCCAGAACCAGTGCCCCCAGCTCCACCACC